GGGCCAGCACCCATCCAGACACCATCCGTCACCTCCCTGCTGAGGCGAGATCGGCTAGTGCTGAAAAGTGGATCGCCCAAGGTCACCCAGGTCAAGAAGAATCAGCCCTGGGCCTGCAGTGGGACTGTCAAGAAGACATCCTATCCTTCAAGTGTCGAGAGGCTGCAGCCACTGAAGAAGTTGTCACTATGCGCTCTATCTACAAAGTGGTGGCAAGCCAATATGACCCCCTTGGGAGTAATTTTCGATCCTAATCTTGCATTTGATCTTCACGTACGTAATACTGTCAAAGTTTCCTTTTTTCATCTTAGAAACATATCCAGATTACGGCCCATGCTGTCTTTCCCTGTAGCAGAAAAATTAATTAACACTCTGGTTTTTTCTAGAATTGACTATTGCAATGCCTTGCTAGCAGGAGCATCAAAAACTATTCTGAACAAACTTCAGTGGGTACAAAACTCTGCCGCACGTATTCTGACCAGGACAAGACAAAGGGATCACATAAAACCTATTTTAGAGACCTTGCATTGGTTACCTGTTAAATTTCGTGTTGATTTTAAAATTCTTATGTTGACATATAAGGCATTGAATGGACTCGCTCCGCAATATCTCGTCGAGCTTTTAGTGCCCTATACTCCAACACGAAATCTCCGCTCGGCTGATGCAGGTCTCTTAGTTGTCCCGGTAACGAACAAAAAAACAATGGGTGATAGGGCGTTCGCTTCAGTTGCCCCAAAGTTATGGAACTCCTTGCCCCCTAAAATAAGATGTGCTCCATCTTTGAAAAGGTTCAAATCATCCCTTAAAACTCATTATTTTACGGAAGCATTTGGATAAAGGTGATATTGGTGGTTGTTAATGAGGTGTATCTTATGGTTCTCTTTTTTTTTTTTTTTACACTTTGCTTCATTTTGTCAACACTTTGCTTGTATTATTGCCTCTTTTATGTGTTTTCTTAATTGTGCTTATGTAAAGCGCTCTGAGAATTAACTTTTAAAAGCGCTATATAAAATAAAGTTATTATTATTATTATTATTATTGGCTTTCTAGTACCTTACACCACCAGGGCCAAAGTGGTCATCCAACACCTGTGGGACAAGAAGCGGGACTGGGACGACCCTGCTCTGCCGGATCACTTGCTAGCCGCATGGAGAGAGTGGGAGGATGAGTTACCTCAACTACAGAGCATAGCACTTCCGAGGTGTTACACCAGCCGTGAGTTAGACTCTCCTACCTGTGAACGTGAGATCCACGTGTTCTGTGATGCCTCAGAGCGAGCCTATGGCTACCTCCGAACCGAGAATCCTCATGGAGTCATCCAAGTAGCTTTCGTCACTGCAAGATCAAGAGTTGCTCCAAGAAAGCAGCAGTCAATCCCTCGCTTGGAGTTATGTGCTGCTCTGACCGGAGCACAAATGGCTCGGATCCTCAAATCTGAACTCACACTGACCATTCAGCGGGTGGTGCTTTGGTCGGACTCTACTACCGTGCTCCAGTGGCTGCAGTCGGAGTCATGTCGATTCAAAGTGTTTGTCGGCACACGTGTTGCAGAGATTCAAGATCTCACCGAGGGCGACACATGGCGGTACGTGGACTCTGCACAGAACCCTGCCGACGACATAACGCGTGGTAAACCTCTCAACACATTGACACCAGACAGCCGCTGGGGTCAAGGCCCAACCTTCTTGTGGTGTGACCCAGACAAATGGCCACAAAGTCCTCAGATTCAGACAGAGGTAGATCAGGGTGAAGAGCTCAAGAAATCTCCATTCTGCGGCCTCACTACTACAACGCCAAGTCATCTCCCTGACGTTAAGCAGTTCTCTTCCTTCAAGGACCTCCTGACCGCCACAACTAAGACTCTACATGGGGCGGCCCCAGGCAACGTCACAGCCTACCGGCAAGCCCAGCTGACTCTGCTACAACAGGTCCAACAAGACAGTTTTCCTATTGACTATGCCCAGCTGCAGTCAGGAAAACCAGTCGCCAAGAGCAGCAGACTTCTCAAGCTGGCACCAGAGTTCGACCACAGGGACCAGCTCATTCGTGTTGGCGGACGTCTGCGCCATAGTAACCAGCTGGAACTGAATACTGTTCACCCGGTGTTGCTGGATGCCAAACACCCAGTCACGCAGCTGCTCATCCAAGAGTATGATTGCCATCTGCACCATCCAGGCCCAGAGAGGGTCTTCTCAGAGATGCGCCGCAAGTATTGGCTACCAGGAGGGCGAGAGGCTATCCGCCGCTTTCAGCGAAAGTGCCAAGAGTGTCAGAAATGGCGTGGAAAGCCACAAATCCCTAAAATGGCCGACCTTCCTCCATCCAGAGTCCGACTTTTCAAGCCAGCATTCTACTCAACAGGAGTAGACTGCTTCGGGCCATACTCGGTAGTGATTGGAAGGAGGAGTGAAAAGCGCTGGGGAATAATCTTTAAATGCATGACCACCCGAGCTGTGCATATCGATCTGCTCTCCAGTTTGAATGCAGACTCATTCCTCATGGCTCTGAGGCGGTTCATCGCCCGCAGAGGAAAGCCGTTCGAGCTAATCTCAGACCAGGGGACTAACTTCAGAGGTGGCGATCGAGAGCTCCGGGAAGCATTCGCCGACCTGGCTCCAGACGTCAAAGCTCAACTCGCCTCTCAGCAGATCGACTGGAAGTTTAATCCACCTAACGCCCCCCACTTTGGCGGCTGCTGGGAGCGCGAGATACGCTCAGTAAAGCAAGCCCTACAAGTAACCCTTGGAGCTCAGCTTGTGACAGATGAGGTACTGAGAACCCTACTAGTTGAGATTGAGGGGATTCTCAATTCCAAACCATTAGGCTACACATCTGCAGACATCACCGACTCTGATCCAATTACTCCCAACTCCTTGCTCATTGGGCGGCCAGATGCTTCTCTCCCACAGGTGGTGTATTCTGACTCCGAGCTCCTAAGCAGTAGGCGTTGGCGCCATAGCCAGCTATTGGCTGACCACTTCTGGAAGCACTTTATTCGTTTCTATCTGCCCAGCCTCCAGGCCCGACAGAAGTGGAATACTGAAAACCCAGACCTGCACATCGGCAAGACGGTTCTCATCATCGACCCCCAGCTCCCTCGCTCACTGTGGCCAGTGGGTACAGTGACCAGCATCTTCCCTGGCCTCGACGGTAAAGTACGATCTGCGGAAGTGAAGGTCGGAGACCGGTCGTACACCCGCCCTGTGGCTCGACTCATCCAGCTTCCAAAGTTGTCACACTAACCACTACCGGACGAATGGGCGCCTTTTCTTCTTCTGCAGATTCCCTTCAGTAATCTGGGGGCGGCTGTAAAAAGGGCCCCCTTGTGGAATCTAAGCGTCAGATATTTTACTGTGACTTTCTCTCTCCTACTGGAAGAAGCCTCGCTTCACCTGGACTCTTAGCCAATCACAAGTTGATTCAGGATGGCTGCGCGCGAGTATTATTCTGTCAGAGGTTTAGTCAGTAGTGTACGCGAACCGCACGGACTTACAACCCGCCTTGATTCAACTGCTTTATTCTGTGTGCGTCTTTACAAAACCACACACACACACACACACACACACACACATACACGTCAATGTACATTCAACCATGCAGTTGTAAATCCAATAAATGCTTTCAATGAAGACATCTTGTGTGATTCTGATCGATCACCCGCTGTGAGCTCTACCTAACGATCCATAAACTATCTAAATCAAAGAAGCCAGTCATCTTCTGCACACTGGTAATGCATGTTTGTGGAGATGTTTAATCCTCCTCTGGTGAGAACTTTTGCTAAGATTTAATGTCTTTTATCTTGATTTAGTCTTTTTTTCTGTTCTTCTTGTTCCTATTTCCTTCAGTGATTCTGATTGTTAACAGCAGGTGTTCATCAGGGTCTCAATTAACTGAATTATTCACTCATTCAAGTGGACTATATTAGTGAACTAATGTAGGTAATAGTGAATAAGGGTATAGGGTGTGATTTTGAACACATCCTCTGAATGTCGACCTAATTCACAGTATATTCCTGTAGGCTACTTTCTCGAAAACGACAAATATCACCCCGAATGCATTTTTTCTACGGTATATTGCTGTTTTAATGGAAAACAGCATGATACTGTAAAATTTGGCTGTTTTTTTACAGCAATTTTTTACAGTGTTGTTTACAATTCTCAATTCTCATGTAGATTCTTTGTAGATATTAGTTTGCTTACATTTTTTAAATCTAGTAATTTCTGTAAACTCAAGTAACTTGAGCGGCAGTGGCTCAGTGGTTCACGTAGGTTGTCTACAAACCGGAAGGTTGGTGGTTCAATCCCTGGTTCCACTTGACCAAGTGTCGAGGTGTCCATGAACAAGACACCTAACCCCAGCTGCTCCCGACGAGCTGGATGGTGCCTTGCATGGCTGACACCGCCATCAGTGAATGAATGGGTGAATGCGAGGCAATGTGTAAAGCGCTTTGGTGACCATGGGTCTGTTTAAAGCACTATATAAATGCAGTCTATTTACCAACATAAGTTCAACCAACATCTTTTTTTTAGTTCTCTTAAGTAATTTTTTCCAGTCCACATTACTTGATACAGGAAGTTGAGTCAACAGACTGCATGTTGCATCAATTCGTGTTTTGAAGTGTAATAAACTTGACACTATAAGTTGACTCAAATTAACTCAGTCAAAGCAAAAAGATGACTTGACTTAGTTGAGTCAACTAATCTTTTTTTACAGTGCATGTTAGATAAGTGATCAAGCATATTTAATAGTTCTCACTACAGAAACATGAGATTTGTGCCTATAATGTTTTAAAAAAAAATAACTGGAAGATCAGTGTACCTCATCATGGAAAGTTTCAGGAACGTATAATTAATTTATAAAAAGACAAATTATTGTAATATTTTATAGCAGTTGTCTGTTACATCTGGAATAATTTGAATATCCATTCACTCCATATTTCTCTTTTTGAACTATTTTTATTATTTAGAAAAATTTGAAAAAGAGTTTTTCTTTCATTTCAGACCCGATGGAAGAGAGCGAGGAGAGAGAAGAACTGAGTGAAGTGGAGGAGGAGAGAGAAGAACTGAGTGAAGTGAAGGAGGAGAGAGAAGAACTGAGTGAAGTGGAGGAGGAGAGAGAAGAACTGAGTGAAGTGGAGGAGGAGAGTGAAGAACTGAGTGAAGTGGAGGAGGAACATCATGTCCAACCTGGAGGAAAACCCTTGAGTCGCTCAAAGACTAAAAAGACATTTTTAAAGAAAAGAAGAGCCAAGAAATCTTTCACCTGCACTCAGTGTGGAAACAGTTTAACAAGCAAACAATGTCTTGAGCGTCACATGATGATCCACACCGGAGAGAGGCCGTTCACATGTGATCAGTGCGGGAAGAGTTTCACAACCAAACGAAGTGTTGATGTTCACATGAGGATCCACACCGGAGAGAAGCCGTTCACATGTGATCAATGCGGGAAGAGTTTCAGGCAATCATCAGCCCTTAATGTTCACATGATGATCCACACCGGAGAGAAGCCGTTCTCATGTGATCAATGCAGCAAAACATTTATCTGTGCATCACACCTGAAGACACACCTGACAGTTCATACAAAGGAGAAGCCACATTCATGTTCTGTGTGTGGAAAGAGTTTTTCACTGCTGCAATCTTTACATAAACATGAGAAAATAGTACATATTGGTGTAAGAGAGTACATGTGCTTTGAGTGTGAGAAGACTTTCACTAAACCAAGCAAGTTAAAAGAGCACCAGAGAATTCACACTGGAGAAAAACCTTACAAGTGTTCACACTGTGACAAGAGATTCAGCCAGTCAGAACATCTGAAAAGACATGAGAGGATCCACACTGGAGAAAAACCTCACAAGTGTTCACACTGCAACAAGAGATTCAGTGTGTCATCATCTCTGAAAACACATGAGATGATCCACACTGGAGAAAAACCTTACAAGTGTTCACACTGTGACAAGAGATTCAGTCTGTCAGCAAATCTGAAAAGACATGAGATGATCCACACTGGAGAAAAACCTCACAAGTGTTCACACTGTGACAAGAGATTCAGTGAGTTATCATCTCTGAAAACACATGAGAGGATCCACTCTGGAGAAAAACCTTACAAGTGTTCACACTGTGACAAGAGATTCAGTGTGTCATCATATCTGATAAAACATGAGAGGATCCACACTGGAGAAAAACCTTACAAGTGTTCACACTGTGACAAGAGATTCAGTGAGTTATCATCTCTTAAAACACATGAGAGGATCCACACTGGAGAAAAACCTTACAAGTGTTCACACTGTGACAAGAGATTCAGTGTGTCATCATCTCTGAGATCACATGAGAGGATCCACTCTGGAGAAAAACCTTACAAGTGTTCACACTGCGACAAGAGATTCAGTGTGTCATCATCTCTGAGATCACATGAGAGGATCCACAGCAGAGAGAAGCTGCACACGTGTGATCAGTGTGGAAAGAGTTTCTCTTTTAAAAGTCACCTGAAGCTACACCTGAAGATCCATGCAGTGGAGAAACCACATCACCACAGTCTGAGATCACGGTAAGTAGTTCATCTTTAGCCGCGTTTCCACCGCAGGAACTTTCCCCAGGAACTAGGAACTTTGGGGTGGTACTCCGTGTTTACACCGCAGGAACCAGGGTCTAAATGAAGTTCCGGGTAAAAATTCCCCCCCCCCAGAAAGTCCCTGCTGACGAGGTAGTACTTTTTTAGAGTTCAGGAACTTTCGGGGTGGGACTTGTGCGCTGTACATGCTGATTGGTTCTTACCTTGTTCTCTCTGCCGGATGGCGCGCGTTCGTCCCATCCATCTCACGGTCATGTCCGCTATAGCTGATAACAAACGTTGTCTACTTTTATATCTAGCATTACGAGCTTTCTGAATCGTTAGTAAACCTATAGATCGCACACAAAAGCAGCACAGCTTGAATCTCCTCAATTCTTAAAACTCAAAACAAACGCGCAGACTGGGAGGAGCAGTCGCACGCAGTAACATAATCTTCCCGGTACTTTAGTCCACGGTGTAAACGCAGTGAGCAACCGGTCTGGGGCAAAAAAAGTTCCTATGAAAAAAGTTCCTGGGACAAATAGTTCCTGGTAATTGTGGTGAAAACGCGGCTTTTATGTGCTGAGAAACAAAAGCTGCTTTTCCATCTTCAGAAAAGGTTCCAGTTGTGCTTCCACTTGAGCCTGGTACGGCACGGCACAATTACAAACCGTTCTCGGCCCTGAACTCTCAGCAGACTTGGCTAACCGTGCCGAACCGTGATGGTTGAATGTGTGAAGTGACATCGACATCGTAAAGTAATTTGATCATCTGAAGATTAAAATTTCATCTTTTAATATCATTTCATTATTAAATATTATGTATCTGTATTATTATTCTTTATTAATATTCATAATCAGTTGTATTATCTTATGGAGTTTCAAAAGCATGAGTTTGAATGCATGAGGAAACTATAGATAGCATGGATCCATGAGATGATCATATGTCAGACAGGGGGAAGCTATATTTTGCTAAGGGGTGTGTACAATGTAACATGTTCCACTGATGTAAGTGTATCACAGATGTAAACAACAAGGATAGTTCTTAATATGGAAGTGAATTGTGACATGTTAAACATAACGTGTACGTATGACATATACGTTCTAATTTTAAGAAGCTCAGAGCAACATGTTTTGTTACCTTACAAGGAAGCTGTAAGACTCTATGTGATGTATAAAAGCTCAATCTTACTGTACTACCTCAGAGAAACACGGAAACGCATAGACCTGGCATGAATACAACATCTTGAAGTTTCTCCCCTGACATATAAGAATAAAAATCTTTCTTGGCAAGATAACTGGTGTCCGGTCCCGTAAATCAAATAATAACGGGAAACAAAAGAGGCTTTAATTCCAAGTCTACATCATCGCCACTCAGGATTGGTCACTTGTCTAAGTGACATAAGCAATTTGAGCGATGTAAACCCAAATTTATAATTAAATCAAAAGAAATAACATGGTTCCTGTGCTCACCAACCATGTTATTTTTCAGATGCGTTTTGTCCATAGGAATTTTTTTCACTGCTGTAAATTTACATGATTGAGAACACAATTAATCTATAATTATCTTGGTTGTTGATTATTTTCATGATCGATTTCATCAATTCTTTCTTGCACCCCTAGTTAATTAAAGTTTGTATTGATCATCAAAAACAGTTTAAGAAAATGAAACATCATGATACTGAAGAACACAGAGGTTGGTGTTTATTCTTATCTGTTTATTTGAGATTTACATTGTTTCAGTTCAAGAATATAAAAAGACATTAAACTAATTCAAATATTTTGACATTGAACTTTCTTGATTTTGACATTTTAGACATTCACGCTGGGCTGGAATATTCAACCACTAATGATGAAATCACAAAGCTTTTTTCTTCAGATAATATTTTTACTATTTGGTTTGCTCTTTAAAGATACGTGCTGACCAGATAAAAACTTTGAGCTGCTCCAGATTCACATTTAAGAGCATTTGGTGGCACTAGTGGAACCAGCATTAAATATTGGAATTACTTTAAATAAAATATTAGCATTTCATGTACACTTTAAACTACACTCTAAAAAACACTGGATTAAAAACAACCCATTTTGGGCATTTTATTGACCAAAATATGCTGAGACTGATTCCATAACCTGTCCATAAACAATCAGTGTACAGTTCTGAGAACACATTTTAACTTTCTAAGCATTTATATTCTGTATCTTTTTTTGAAAAAAATCATAGAATTTTTTGCAAGGCATCAGGCGTTTACATCATGCGAAAAGACCGACGTGAGACTCGTTTAGGTGACTCACATTACGCCCCTGTATGTTCTTTTCTTTGCATTAAATAAACGATATTCAGAACAGTAACTAATTTATAGATACAAAAAATTTACACAAACATGTAGTTTACCCGAAGACACACCAATTTGACGGAGCTGCACTGCTTTGTACTGCTGCGCTTTGGACCAGCTGTAGTTTGTTTATTATGCGTGCAGGGCAACCACCCATAATAGCATTACAATAATCTAGCCTTGATGTCATGAACGCATGAAGAACTTGTTCGGCATTTGTCATTAAGAGCATATGACGTAATTTAGGTATATTTTTAAGACGAAAAGTGCGGTTTTACAGATACTAGACAGGTGACTTTCAAATGAAAGATTGATATTAAAGTGCACACACAGGCTCCTAACCGACGACGAGGACTTGACAGACCAGCCATCGAGTGTTAGACAGTTTTCTAGGTTAATACGTCAGGATGTTTTTTGTCCAATAATTAGAATCTCTGTTTTTTTTGCGACGGGATCAGTCTACTGCTGGTAGCCCCGTTGTGGCCGGCCCGAGTATGGTTCTCCGACATAATTTTGCTCCTGGACGGCCCTCCATGGGAGATTCCCATCAGGAGGGACCTGCTGACAAAGGCAGAGGGCTCAATATTTCACCCTCGGCCCGAGTTAGGGAAACTGTGGGTCTGGCCCCTGAGGGGGCACAGTACCTAGAGGCCGGCCTATCAGCTGGAGTAGTGGAGACCATACTCAGCTCTAAAGCTCCCTCCACGAGGAAATTGTACGGCTTAAAGTGGAACGTCTTCAACGTTTGGTGTAGGGAGCGTGAGGTGGACCCAGTTAACTGCCCAGTGGCTTCAGTGCTGGAGAACCTCCAAGATCGCTTCTCCACTGGTCTTACCCCGTCCACACTCAAGGTGTACGTGGCTGCCATTACGGCTTTCCACGCTCCTCTGAGTGATGGGCCTCTGGGGAGACACCAGTTGGTCGTACGTTTCCTCCGTGGGGCATGGAGGATGAGACCTGCGGCTCGTACCAGGGTTCCCACATGGGACCTGGCAGTGGTTCTTGAAGGTTTGGCTGAGGCCCCCTTCGAACCGCTGGAGTCGGCTGAGGCCAAGAACCTGTCGCTGAAGGTCGCTTTTCTGTTGGCCATTACTTCTCTGAGGAGGGTAGGAGATCTCCAGGCGCTCTTCATATCTAACGAGTGCCTGGAGTTTGCTCCAGGCAACATTAAGGCCATCCTTCACCCTAGGCCCGGCTATCTGCCTAAGGTGCCGTCCAGTGCGGCACAGCCTACGGTTCTGCAGGCTTTTCATCCTCCACCTCATGTGACGGCGGATGAAGAGAGACTTCACATGCTCTGACCTGTCAGAGCACTAAGTATTTACATTCAGAGGTCCTCTTCATGGCGGAAGTCGGACCAGTTGCTGGTGTGTTTCGGGTCGCCCAGGAAGGGGCTTCCCGCTTCAAAACAGACCATCAGCAACTGGATTGTCCATGCGATTTCCACGGCCTACCAGGTGCGCGGTATGCCTTCACCTTTGGCCGTGAGGGCTCATTCCACTTCTCGCGGGGGCCCCCATCCAGGAGGTCTGCGATGCAGCAGCATGGGCCACCCCTCATACCTTTATTAGGTTTTATAGTCTGGACATTCCGTCAACACCCGGCTCTCTTGTGCTCTCGTTCTAAGTGTGCCTGTGAGCAGGTTCACACTAGGGCAGGCAGGGTGCGTTGTGGCGTAGTGGGCACTCGTTCCCCCAAAGTGTCACTCGACGCAGTTTGAGTTCCCTCGAAAGGGAACGTCCTCGGGTTACGACTGTAACCCTTGTTCCCTGAGAAGGGAACGAGAACTGCGTCCCTTGGCCATGCCTTCCCCTGCCTGGGAGCGCTTGCTTCATCACAGAAGCTGACATCTCATGTGTGCCGGCGTCCCTTTATAGCTTCCGCCTATGTGCCATTACGTCATGACGCAACACCAATCGGAGATTGGCTTAGTTTCATTCATACTTCAGAGGCACTACGCTGAGGGGCATTTCCCCCCAAAGTGTCATTCGACGCAGTTCTCGTTCCCTTCTCAGGGAACAAGGGTTACAGTCGTAACCCGAGGACGTTCATGTTGTCAACGTTAAAGGTAAGCCATGTTAATGGTAGTGGGGAAAAGCCACGTAAAATATATTGGTTGTTATTGCACTAAAGTTCAGTGTATTGGGATATTTCATATGATATTAATAGTTTTGTTTTTCCTTTTAAATGTGATTATTGCATGGTGGCTAATGCAAAGCTATCTGTGATAATATAAGCAGCACAAGCTTACTGTTGAATTGCATGTGCATTGAAATGTACTTTGCTAATTTAAAACTTAAGCTCATTTCATGTTGTCAATGTTATAGATGCCCTGCTGTGGAATAAACGTTCAAGCCACGATCGCGAACCCCTTTGTGTCTGAGTCCCCGCTCTCTACCACCACCCACGAACACACACAACGCAGAGCAGCAGCGGCGGTGAGAGAAAGAGGGTTACATATATATATACAGTATATATAAAATAAGCTCTCTTTTTTCATATTAATATTTGTTGGTTTAGACCAGCTTCTATAGAAGAAAAACTGAAATCTGAGTGAAGAAGAGTGTAGTACGTGTGGTTTAATCTCACATCACTTCTGTTATAGAGATGTTTGAATCAGGCCCATTGAAAGGTGATTGACAGTTTCAGGGGTCTAATTTGTGCA